CATCCCAGCTGGTCCAGGATTCGCAGGCCATTGGAGAACAAGCCAATGCTGGCACCAGCAGGAGGCGCGATGGCATCATGAGATTCTAGGAGAAGATAATCGATTCCGCATGACTCGAGGATGTTTGCCAAGGTAAGCGCGGCGATGCCGCCACCAGCAATCAAAACCTTGAATGTGCTGCTATGCGATGACATTGTACTTGTGATGAAATGCCTTTATGATATGTAGACACACCTAGAGTGGTGGATGTCCTGGAGGTATAAATACTGCCAAGGCTTGGGCACTTTCCCATGATGATATGGCCAGCCATCAAGTGTCTCACGCGAACCGCTTTCTTGGGGCATATGCAGTTGCTCACCAGCCTGCGGATTTCAGCTCTGTAACCTTGGGCCGCAAAACCATTCGCTGGCCGTGGGTAATCGGCAAGTATGAATCATAAAACCCAAACATCTGGTGGTGGCCTATTGATGTGAACCAAGTGAGACACAGTCCAAAATAGTATGGGCTACGTAAAATCACCGAGCATCATGTGCCCCATTCAAGTAAGTCTATGTCATGGTCTATGTGTTCTCTATGTGTTCTATGCAAAATTCGTACAGCTGGCAAGATATGATGATGCTGAAGATCGGTATAGCACCGTCATTTCGCAACATGTGTGGGTGTTTCTGCAAGTTCATCGCCCCGGGATCTGGGACAGATCGATCTATGATACGCGAGTGTGCATGTTTGTTTCGTCTTCAGCGGAGGAACTCGTCCGAGGCCATCAGATCCTCGGCCAGGAGTCGATGGATGGTGACGGCGGGATGGTAATTGTCATGCCACAAGCAGTTTGCCCCGTCCAGACTGACACACGATGCATCAGCCGCACCAAATCGAGCGGGGTCTGATAGTGCCGTCTCAAAGGAAGGGGTCGTGTTGAAGACTTGTCCCACGACGTCTCCATGTGACGCCTTGAATTCTTTGAACAGACCGTCCACTCCGTTGTTGTATGCACGGATATCCTGGCGTAGCATCTCTACCCTTTCCGCCATTTCGCCTACAAATCGTGGTGCTTTATAGAAAGCTCCTTGACGTCAGCTGACACAAGGGTCTGGATCGAAGAGGGTCTGGACTTACGTGGTACAGTGAGAAGTGAGTAATGTCTGAGTCCTTGGGCATACAGGATTTCCAGCAACTCGGCATATCTAGTTATGACGCGGTCGATGGGGGGCACGACCTCATCCCAATAAGGGTGGCCGAGGTCATTAATTCCAACCCATATGATGGCCAGTGCCTTGTCTGGCGTCCAAGAATTGTTGGAAACGTGCTGCACGAAGAGGTCAACCTGGTCGTCGACGGCTGACTCTGCCCACGTGTGCACAATGGAGCTGTCTGTGGTGGCGGCTGAGACAGCAAAGTTGTAGGTCAAGAGGCGCGCCGATTCGACCCTGTCGATGAGGTAGCCAACCCAGTTCCTCCCACCGCTTGTGGTGTAACCCGGAAAATGTGGGTTGCCTAGGGGGTTGTGGACAGAGGGCGCATCACCGTGGATTGAAAACCCGGTTGTGGAATATGAGTCGCCGCTGTTCGCCGTTAGCCGTGGTGCCGTGATGGTGCAACGGTGTTGTGACATACAAGACGAAGAGATGCTTGGTGTCCTGGGGCCCTTGGAGAGCCGGGACGGCGAAACCAAGAACCAGGCCAACCACCGGAAGGGCGATGAGAAGGAATGCCACGAGTGGTACCAACCACTTCGGCTCCGTCATGTTCACTTCATAGGAGCTGACGGGGTGAGGTTACGGCGCACAACGGGTGTCGGAAGGGGGTTACTAGGGATGGAAAATCTCGTCACGGAGCGGCTACAGGCAGCAAAGTGGTTATCTACTCCTTTCCCCTGGGTCCTGGCGCAGGCGCAGCCACGGTCCTCCTTTGGGGTCCGAAAAATCCCACTCCACCGCGAGCCTCTCACTTTTGCACGACCAACCGTTGGATACGGTGGAGAGAGGAGGGTCTGGCGAATCCACCGTGGGCTTGGTGACCAGGCTCCAGGCACCTTGGCAGGTGTGTGCGTTATGATCTTCACAGTTAAGGATGGATGGCGGATAATAATAGCTCGTCAAACGACAGATGCAGATGGAAGAGTCCTTCTGGAGGCTATTGGCTACTATAATTATTAGCCTTTGTGTCAATGCGAGTTCTTTCTTCAACGGTATTTTGATGGCGATCAGGACCAGTTCGTTAGCCTTGGAGAAAGTGGGCATTGGTCCACTGTCAGCGTGATTAATACCAAGGCCTGGGACGCCTTGGGAGGCGCTGGAATGCGGGAATGAGAAGGCCAAGACGGTGCGTTTTGCGTCCATGGCAAAATGGTTTCGGATAGTCGCGATGCGCCAATGCAAAAGGCCGCACCGGACATGAGTAAGAAGCACGACGGTAACAATACCACGACCCCATCGGCCAACTCTGCCTTCACCCGTCGGCAGCGCAGCGAGTGGGAAATGACAGGTCCCGTCGCACCTCGGCGGTCTCTTGTTGCCAAGGGAGACCTGGATCAAAGGGTGGATCGAAAGCCACAGACCGTCGTCACCTTGGTCAGACCACCCACCGCCCAGCCACGAAGGACAAAACCTGTTCCTCGCCTCCCTGCAAACGCAGTGGAACCCGGAGAATCGCGAAGGGGAGGGGGGTTGTATGTATGCCCGACCATCCGGGCGTGGAGGATTCTTCGCTTGCTGATCTCGGCTAAGGCGAGAGCAACGAGAGAGAGAGAGGCGCGGTTGGTCGCCAAAATGCTTGGCCAGCTAGAAGGGGAACAGCCAGCCAAAGGGCGCAGGGATCTTTTGTCGATTTATTTACTGCCCGTCGCTTCCTCTTATCGAGGGAGTTGCCTAAACAGGCAGGTCAGAGGGGAGGCTGGGCTACCATAGTAAATGATATGCGCTGGGCGTCATGCAATCATGTCTTTGTCGAGGACGATCAAGGGCAAGCTGGTTGCTGCTATTAATTGGGATGCCTCCTCGCCCTTGCCGTCCCCCAGGCTCGCTCCTCTGGTTTGCTTTCCCTCCTACGCCCCGAGGCCCCGTCAATTGATCCCCTCAGGTAGACCAGACCACGCCGCCGCCCATCATGAAGGCCCCTACTCTCATTGCTGCCCTGGGCATGACGTCGGCCGTCAGCGCCTGTCTGCTCGAGTCGGAGCGCGCCCTCGAGCTCGAGTACGCCCGCACCGGCGTCCGCCGCAGCATCCATCCTGCTCCCTCGTCGCCCCATCGCCGCCAGACGTCCTCGGCCTTCCCCATTGGCACCGGCGACCGCTTCGCTGGCGGCTGCAAGAAGCCCGTCGGTCTCGGCGTCGAGGAGCGCGACCTCGAGTCCGTCTTGAGCGTCGCAGAGGTCACCTCGGCCCTGCGCGGCCTCAAGCGCGCATACCCCAACGAGGTTGAGCTCTTCACCGCTCCCGTCCCAACCTACGAGGGTCGAGAGATCCACGGCGCCGTCGTTGGCGACGACCCCCGCGTCTTCATCATGAGCGGCATCCACGCCCGTGAGCGCGGAGGTCCCGACAACACCATCTACTTCCTGGCCGATCTGCTGGCCGCCCGCAAGGCTGGCACCGGTGTCTCGTACGGCGCCAAGAACTACACGGCCGAGGAAGTCGAGACGGCCCTGTCCGCCGGTGTCATCATCATCCCCCTCACCAACCCCGACGGTGTCTACCATGACCAGACGACCGACTCGTGCTGGCGCAAGAACCGTAACCCGGAATCTGCCGTCGGCGCTCCCAACGGCCGCGACATCGGCATTGATCTGAACCGCAACTACGACTTCATCTGGGACTTCGAGAAGTACTTCGATACCAACCTGGCCGCCCCCGCCTCCAACGACCCCCGCAGCGAGGTCTTCTGCGGCACCGCCCCCGAGTCGGAGCCCGAGACCCAGGCCGTCGTCTGGACGCTCGAGCAGTACCACAACATCACCTGGTTCATGGACCTGCACTCGTACGGCCCCAGCCTGCTGTACGCATGGGGCAACGACGATGCCCAGACCGAGGACCCTGAGGAGAACTTTGACAACCCCGCGTACGATGGTCTGCGTGGTGGTGTCGGCCCCGACGACCCCGACAACATCTACCGCGAGTTCTTCACCGCCGAGGACCTCAAGACCGAGGAGGTCGGCACCGCCCAGATCGTCAACGCCATGCTCGTGGCCGGCGACGCACCCTACGAAGCCTACCCGGCCGTCGGACTCTACCCTACCTCGGGCGCCAGCAACGACTGGGCCATGTCCCGCGCGTACGGCAACCCCCTCTGCGGCTCCTCCAGGATGTTTGGCTACACCATGGAGTTTGGTGCACCCAGCCGCGCCTCTTCCGCCTGCCCCTTCTACCCCGACTCCCGGGAGTTTCACCGAAATGTGCGACAGGTCGGTGCCGGCTTCATGGAGATGATGCTTCTCGCCGCCGGTCCTGCTGGTGACCCCGTCTACCCTGAGTGCTAAAGCACCAGGCAGTGTATAGTGCACAAACTGTTGTACATCAGTAGATTAGAACGATCAATCATATAATGACCAAGGCAATGAATTATGTCTTAGACGAACTCTTCTGGCCAGTGCCTAAAAGCCCTCTATCCATGACAAAATGAGTGAACGTGCAACGAATCTGTCACCTTAGTGGCGATGCTGTTCCTTTGAGCCTACCCTAGACTAGGACAATCCCAATTCCCATCGTACACAATAAATTGACGAACTCATGGGCCATTACGATGTATGAAAAGGGAATAGCATAATTCATTTATTTCTGGCCAATTCGACTTCCGACCCTCGTTCCCCTTACAGCCTATTTTCCTTCGTAGCCATTGCAACAATGTGGACTCCTCAGTGCTACCCATCCCGAAGGCATTCAAACAGCGCACTCAACGTATATAAAATAGCAAAAAGCCTCCGAAAGCTGCTGGCGTCTGGAGCACAATTTTCTATCAAAAAGACATCATCACGAAAACAAAAGACAAAAAAAAGAAAGTGTCTAGCAATTCTAGGTTTCGATCCTAGGACCTCCGGGTTATGAGCCCGGCGCGCTTCCACTGCGCCAAATTGCTTTCCTAACACGTGACTGATGGGGAATAATTAATTTCTATATTGCTATCTGATCCTACTATTTCCACCACCGCAGCCAGGCAAGTCATGATCTTCTGATTCTAAGCCAGTCCAGCGCGCATTTCGCTTTCACGACCGAGGCACTTAGACGGGCACCCGTGTCTACGTTAGCAAGTCAAGGCTAATCTGCGGTGTAGAAGTAGGCTAAGGAACATCGTGTCACCACAAATCAGGAGGTCGCAACTATTTAGATGCTCCTAGCTATACTAACATCATGTATATCCAGCAAGCCCTAGTTTGTCCCCAGATCCACATAGGCAGGTACCTGCAGCTAATCGGCTTGGCTGGCTACAGTTTGTATGTATGGGACGTTTGTGATCCTGCTGAATTGTATCTTGGTCCCGATCTATCTCTCCGCTGGTAATCGTACCATCTTCAAGTTTTCAAGTTCAAAGTGACACTCACCCATCCCTTTGAGTCAGATAAAGCATCATAACGTCATGAAGCGTCAAAGATAAAACTTCAGATGGAAAGCAACAGAGTATATTATTAAAAATTAAGTCTACCGCTTTCATAGCTTGCACTCTGCGGAAGTGACACACACCCTAAGCTAAATCATCTATCAGCCCCTGACCGAGAAAAATTGCGGAATGCGGCGCTTACCTTGTTCAAAATGTATCCCTCGGCGCATTGGCACCCAACAACACATTGTAGAGTGCAAACCTGAGGAGTTGGGTCACTGCAGGTCATGGGACAAGCCGTGCCACACTCGGTATAGACCTCGTTCAGCTGCGTGCGTGTCAGTGTATTGGCCCGTTGACGGCATGATGGGAAAGCTGCATACGCCGCATTGCGTCTCAGTGGGCACAAGATCAGTGAGTGTCTCTGGAAGATCGATCTGCGGCAGATCAAAATCAGGGAGACCCTTGTCGGTGCCGGGTAGAGGGCTAGCCATGACGGCAGCGAATAGAGAGACGACGAAGAGGCCCTGGAAATGCATGGTGACGAGATATGATGTGTGGGATGTAGGTTGAGGAGTCGGTGTTTGCTGGTTTAGGTTTAAGAGGTTTCCTCAGGTTGGGGTGCCCGTGAGTTTAATAGGACGAGAAGGGTTGCCTGGGTGAAACAAATCACAAAAGTTCTGTCTGCCTCCCTCGGTAGCCAGCGCATCTCTAGAGCATGTCTTGCTGGGGACTGTCTTGCCATGGCCGCGTGAAACAGCCGATGCTATTCGCACGAAACATAGGTCGGTGAGATCGTCGCACCTAGTGCCCCCCAATACTGCTGTCATTGTCTTTTGAATGCGCATCGCATTCCGTCCCGCGCGGGAATGAATCGTGCTACCGTCATGCCGTCGGCGGCAGATCCATGAACGGGCCAGGCAAGATGGAGGGAACCTCAAACAGAAACAAACAAAAAGTGGATGTCGTCCTCGTGTCCGGCTTTAATGCGAGTCATTGCAGGCCACTGATCAAATTACGTCAAAGCTCCCGGCCAGCCTTACGCATAGCCCTCCACCTTGATCGCGGGAATGGCTAAGAGGATTTCGGAACCACCTATCTTTTCCCTTCGGTTCTCGTGCCCGTATTGGTATGGCTGGCGGGAGAGCATAATAGTCTCAAACAGCAACCTGGCGAACCGGACATTGTTTACCTGTTTGGGTGATGTGTCTTTACAACTTGGTTCATTATTGTATCGCATTCACTCACCGCTGCTCAAGAATGAGCGGAAGAAAGACATGTTGAGTTGCATACTTGGTCTTTTGGCACTTGTGTGTCTGTGCGAATGGGTTATCCTCGCTCTTCTGGACTCACTGATATTAGCCGGGCAATGATTGACCCAGACATGATGCACCTGAACTGCCACAAGAAACTCGCAGTGCTTGCCGAATGAGGTCATGCGAACCACAAGAAGAGCCCGGTGGAGTGTGCGGAGACAGGCCTCCTCCTCCCCATGGGGACGGGTGGCAAAATCGTCATTCAGAAGCCCTGGATATCTGGAGATCATGGGCTGAGCGCAGCTACGTTATCTCCCAGCGCCCACGATTGCTCTCTTTGGGGAAAAAAGAGAGAGGGAAAAAAAAGAAACCTATACAAACAGCCACCACGGAGCTGTGATGTGCGCTGTGTGGCATAGCCCCGGGAACAGTGACCTTTCCAGCTATGATGTTGGAGTTCCATCGAGGCTTTCCGTGTGGCGCAACTATTCCCCGTCATGATATTCGGAGTAATCACCAACAAAGTCCCTTTCTACTCGACTATTTGGTCCCAGTACGACGAATGAGCGATGCCGAAATTGGTCGCAATGGCCCATCGGGCCACAATATGCCAGCCCGCATATTACGCTGTGCTATTTCTTGTTTGCATCCAATGCCTTACTTTTCTCGTAATAATTGGCTAAAATCCCGCACCGGTCGATCTTGCCGAGGCCGGCAATCGGTGACTCCAAGCTTCGGAAAAGTACTTTAGCTGGACGTGGACGTGGACGTGGACGTGGACCACACGACATCGTGAAGCCGTCACCCCGCTTTTGCCTTTCCCGCAACCCAAGCCCTGATAACTCCCGTCCCCACGTGTGTTAGAAGCCAACGTTTTCCCTTCATCATGGTACCGCTCGGAAACCTCCAGTCCATCGCTCTCTTCATCGCATTGATCACGCAGACTGCCGCCATGTTTACCATCACCGCTGAGCCCGGCACGGATATGTGGCGCAAGCCACCTTCAACCGATGTCTTTAGTGGTAGCTGAACCCGACTATTTGTGAGAGGTGCCCGTCTGACGTAGTGTTGCAGCGCCCACGGCTTCCGAACCCGAGGCGGTGATACACAATGCCCTCAACAAATTTGTCTCGGCCACCGTGTCATTCAAGTTCACTCCCGAGGTCCAATATGACCAAGCCGGTATTGTCCTTGCACTTCGTCCCCGCGGCGCTGCCAACGCCACTGGCATCCCCCCGAAATGGATCAAGTCAGGCATCGAGTTCTACCAGGGAGTTCCTCGAATGGGTACCGTTGGGACAGATACCTGGAGCGATTGGAGCATTGCACCAGTGGCTACCGAGTCCGGCTCGGCTTCTAGCAAGGGCGTCTCATGGACTACCGTGCTCGTTGAGAAGCACGTAGACGAGCTTGGTGACAGCCTATGGGTTTACCAGGTCAATGGCGAGGAAAGGCTGCCACTGCGCGAAATCAACTGGCCATTTGGTTACGGAGATGAGTGGGAGCTCAAGGTGGAGGCCTATGCTGCAAAGCCTGGATCTGGAGCTCCTCTCGAGGTCGAGTTTAAGGATTTCGCAGTTCAGTGGAAGGACTGAGCCGGCGAATAGACATTTGTTCAACATATTGGCCCCCAATTGTTGACCAGTTGATCAACAATGCGTACCGACATGCTGGCATCGTGAACGTGAACGTGGATCTGGTGCCTAACAGTCGTAGGCAGAAGGGCAGAACAATGGAGTCGGCATATACGAGGTATACGACAACAACCAACAGGAACACGAACTATAATAACAGCCCAAGTCATCTGCAGTTTTCCTTCTCTCCTATATTGCATCATCTGCTTATTACTTTTTATCTCTTACAATGGCTTGGGAACCTCGAAAATACGTTGCTGCCGGTGTTCTGGGCGGGACTGTCGAAATTGATGCCCTTGCGGGAGCCGAAGCCGATGGCCAGGACGACTCCGGCGAGCTCTATTGGCCAAAGGTGCCGCAGAGCTACCAACCGCCTCCCCCGGAGCTGGAACATGCCGTCAAAGAAGGTATGCATAAAGCATTGCGCTACATCGATTCACACTGACATAAAAAGTTTGGTACATCACTGAGCTGCTGTCCATAGCACAACCACTAACAAAGCTTGATGCTGATGTGCAATGCTTCTTGGATCTACTCTTGTCTTTGGAAACTCGAAATGTTATCATCTAGTGGGTGCTGGAGTACACCAATGCTTTCCAGGCCTTAAGTAAGGTTGTAAGAGACGGAGAGGCGCTGGAGACAGACACGCTTCAGCTTGCCTCTCGCACCAACAAGTTGCACAAGTACTAGGGACGGTCTCCGTTCATAACAACCTGAAGACAAACCGCTTCCGCCTCTCGCAACGCCTTCATCTGCAAACAAGCTGGATGACTGGAAGCTCGAACTCAGCGACCAGGCATCTGAAGAGGCCGACAAGCTGTTCGCGCTTCTGAAGACCCAACGGACCAATGCTGTGCCTTATTTCCAGACCAACCGACCGCCACAACCTGTGGGTTGGAGTCCCGTTAATGGGGATTCCTGGAAGGAAACCAGCGCGGGAAAGCTCAAAACTGGTGATCTTTACTATAGCAAAGACTGGGTTTCCCTCTATATGGGATTCTCTCTGGAAATGTTGTGCTGCCGGGATGTTATGAGCTGCGGTGAATTGGAGACATTTCGCAATGAGTGGGCAGCGAGGAGGCAGGGCTCTGAGCTGCGTTCGGAAGGGCTCATCAAATCCGGATAGTGTTGCCAACCCTGAGAATTCTATGCATATTGACTTGAGTATTTATATTCGCACAGTGAATTTGGATAAAGGGACAATAACAGGGTCCAAACCGATATTAGCACAGTATGCTAGGGGGGCCTGTCACAACCCACAGGCGCCCTAGGTTTCCGGTGGCCGCGATCCTGACGTTCGGCAGCAGCCCTGATAATGACCTTCGCTAGCAGCTATGATCCTGACCTTCGCCTACGGCCCTGATGATGACCTCTGCCGGCAGCCCTGACGATGGCCTTCACTAGCAACTATAATCCTGACCTTCGCTTGCCCCCCCCCCCCCCAGTATACTGTGCGAATATAAATACTCATTGACTTCGTGTCTCATTGCATTCGGCTTAGTGAGGAAGCAGAGCTTTCTTCTCACCACATCCTAATTCGGCGACATAGCGCACACCGGGAGCTAGGGGGCGGCAGCTGAATGTCATGGTTCTGCAAGGGGCCCTGGCCGCCGGAAGGATTGCCATAGGTTCTGAGACGCGAGGCTTAGCT